AAAAAATTATCATTATTAAGTAAAATTTATATATTATAAACTTGAAAGAGTATAATTTATTAAGTAATTAATATATAATTTTATTTTTTTAGTAAATATTTAATAAAATAAAGTATAATTTAACTACTTTTAATACTAAAAAATATAGTATTGATCAAAAAAAGTGATAATTTAAAAAAATAGTAAATAAACAACATTAAGCGTTTTTGATAAAAAACATACAAATATCACATTTTATTTTAAAAATAGCAAAGAATAATAAAAATTATATTTTTACAGATAATTTATTAAAAAATTAAAAACTATTCAAAAAAAGTGAACGTTTTAAAATTTAATAGTTATGTTATGTCTTTTATTTTTAAAAACCTTTAAACAACGTTTATGAAAGCTTCTTAGATATTTTAACACAATTTTTTTTAATTTTTTCTTTAATTTACCAAAATTTGATGTTTTGGTTTTAATATAAGTCCACATAGCTCTAATTAGATTAAAATTTAGACTCTGTTAAGGCAAATCTAAAATATGTGTGTTTTTTAGTCGATACAATCAGCCCAAATCTAGAGGTGTGTTTTATGTCATTATCATGTATGAAAATATAATTATCTAGCTAGAGTATTTAAATTTTCTGCAAGAATTTGTATAAAAACTCCAACCTTCATCGTTGATTCAACCTCAACAAGTCTAGTGATACTTTTAATGACATTAATTTTCAGAACATTAAACTTCCTCATTTATACTAAATGTACCTACTGTATTTTCAAATTTATACCTTTCACCTGGTAAAAATTAAATATATTTAATACCATCAAATGTAAAAAAGTCATTTTTACACTCATAAAAAAACGGTATTATCATTTGAAGTACCTAAAAAATTTTCAGCAAGTTTTTTTTATTATGTTGATAGTCTTAACAGATGTTTTTGAGCTAGTTTAGCAGTTATTAAACCAAATTTGCTTGATACTCTTAAAACAGTAATCATAAAAATTTTTCAAATTTACTCTTTATGACCATAATACTTTATTTGTGGTCTGTGTCGTAAATTATATTTTTCATTAAATTATTAAAAATTTATTTAAGTTTAGATCCAACTTTTATAGTTATTAGTAAGTTTTCCTATAACCTCTTATTAATATTATAAACAGTGGTTTAGAAACATTTCTATTTTCTACAATAGCCATTCAGTTCAATTCTTTCTTTAAATTATCTCAAATTAACGTTTTAATATAAAATTAATTTTTTTGACTATTAGATATTATAAAAACAACAGTTTCGTGTCAATTTTAGGGAGAAAATGAAAAACAATTGTTTTTTTAGTATTTTATACAATCCAACAGTTTATTATAGTTTTAAACCTTTTACTAAGTAATCTAAAATGTTTTTTTATAATAAATTAAATTGTTGTTTATTTTATTTCATATTATAAAGATTTTGAAAAGAAAACCACTTTATAAAAATATTTACTATAATTTAATCACATTTAAATAAAAAAGAAATTTAATATTTAAAGTATTGTGAATATTTTTGAACTTAAAGCTGTTTTTATTGCTTAATGTTTAACAGTTTAATTTTAAAATCTTTTAAAAATTAATAATGATTTATAAATTATTTAAATCAATATATTAAGTTAATGAAGTATCAAAATAACTATTCAATTTGGTCGGGTAATAAACCAGAGATAAATTACAATAGAGAAACAACAAATTTATTTTTGTTATTATAAAGGATTTTCTTAAATTTTAACTTATAAAATGAATTTGAAAAAAAATTCATTGATTATATTATAAATCATAATCAATAAAAATCAAAATATTTTAAATATTATGATATATTTGTTAAATAAAAATTTTTTCAGATTTATCAAAGTAATTTTATTTATTAAAATCAAAAATGATATAAATTTGATTATTTATTTAATATTCTTATATTGTAAATATTGTTTAATTAGTTATTGTAATTATTAAAAACTTTTATTTTTAATAATAATTAACATTACTTAATTAAAAAAATCATCATTTCATTATAATTTTGCAGTCTGAACAAAATCAGTTTGTTTATAACAATTGATTTTTAATAAAATTAAATTAAAATAAACCTATTATTAGATTTTTTAATCAATTTAAAAAATTTTTTGTTACATTCCTTATATTTATATGAATCATTTTTTGTTAATTGTAAATCTAATAAATACATCTAATCCTTTAGAAGAAAGTCCTTCTAATATGTCAAACACTGATTATAGACCAGAAAATGATGAGTTTATACAGATATGTTTCCCTGAAATAGCTGATGTATTAATTGGGTCAGAAAAAGATGAAAGAAAAAATTATAATAGAGAAGAAGAAAGTTTTAAATCTGGAACTAAAGAAGAAATAAAACCTGATAAAAAAAGAAAACCTGATAAAAAAAGAAAACATGATAAAAAATCTCACTTTAATACAAAAAATTGTAATAATAAAATACAAAAAACAGAAGAGTGTGAAAATACCAATTTCAAACGTTTATTAAAAACCAATAAAGACAAAAATAATACTATCCGTATAAATAATGCAATTACTATTTTTGTAGTAAAAAAAACATCTAAGTCTAATCTAAAACGGAACACAAAAATAATTCAATATTCTCATATAAAAGAAAGTAATTATAATTTCTTAAACAAATTTCAAAAACTAACTAAAAGAAAGAAATCAAAATTTTCATACAAAAAAATTTATTTAAAATATTAAATAGAGAATTTGAGTTTACAATTTCATTGAAGAAATTTTTAAAATTTTTAAATCAGAAATCTTTTAATAAAGACAAGTTAAAACAAATTGCTAATTTAAATAATATGAGTACTGATAAGAAACTTAAAAAATTGAATTATTTTGAATGTTTTTTATTGAGAGCAGTTCATTATTTAACAAAGCATGATGATTTAAAAAAAACAAAAAATTTTATAGTTGTAAATGTTTTTATAGATTTATTAAATAGATTCATTGAGTTTTATAAATATCTGAATAAACTGGAAGAGGTATTTAAATTGATAAAAGACAATAATGAAGATATTTTACCTGGAAAGTTAGATGAGATAGTTTCAATAATTATTCAAAAATTTTTATTGCAATTTAAGTTATTTGAAGAAAAAGAATTAATTTTTGACGAGATTTGTAATTGTTTAACTCAGAATAATATAAAACTAACTTATTTTATGATGGGTGTTGATTGTGATAAAACAAATTACACGTATATGTTAAAAAAATTTAAAGATATTCCTGTTTTTAATAGCTATTCAGAATATAAATATATACTTAAAGAAGCAAGTATACTTTATGTTTTTTATATTAATTCCTTGTATGTATTTGGTCAGAATGATTATGATTATTTATCAGCTACAAAAAAATTAATATTAATTAACTTTGTTAAATTAATAAATAATCTACGATGAATCAATAAATACTAATTATTTAAATATTTATTAAAAATACAATAAATTTATTTTTATAAAAGTACTTTTTAAATGTTTTTTAATATAAAAATTGTTCTGCACCGTGTTGTTAATTGTATATTTACTTGTATTTTTATAAACTGCGTTTTAATAAACTTTATATTTTTGTTCACGATAATTTATTCAAAAATTTTTCTTTTTATATTAAAAAAAGGTTATCAAATTACCATTACCTATTCAAAATGTTGGATCTAATTGGTCATCAACCTCACTGGTTGTGACAAAAATATCAAATATTTTTGTCATATAAAAGTTTATTAAGAAATACAAAATTAAAACATTTTAATATCAAAAAATAATAGGATTTAAGGATCAAGTGTAAAAATTGAAATAAAAAGCTAAAAGGATATTTTAAAAAAGTTTTTAACACATGATTAATTGGTTTAGCGGTGTAATAGAACAACTAGCTAGTAATACTGTAGAAGACCTGATAAAATTTCTACGCATCAAAGGCATACTCAAAGAATATTTAAAGTGTGGAACATATCTTTTAGATATAAAAACGAAGACATACACTTAAAAAGTGTTGGTGTGGCGTTTAAATGTTATAATAGAAACTGTAATGGTTTCTTTATGCATGTTTCAATAGGCATCGAGTCACTACTATCAGGCTTCACTGTACTTCTGAGAAGCATATTATTAGTAGTTTGTAAATGTTTTTATAACCATACTTATGGATTGAGGTAAATATTAGGAAAAGGTTAATTATTAAAATTAGTGATTTACTTCGTAATCAATCTTTTAAATATGTGGTTAAAAATCCAATTTACTTTAGTAAGGATGATATGATTGCTTAAATAGACGAAAGTTTGTTTAGACATAAACAGAAATACCATCGAGGTAGACAACCAACAAGAAAGATTTGGATATTTGGACTAGCTGATTATTCATTCACCCCGGTAAAAATCTCGTTACATGTTGTTCCTAACAGATTTACTAACACTCTACTACCAATAATAGAACGAGTTTGTGCCCCAGGAATAATAATCTACAGTGATCAGTGGAGTGTATATTTAGGCATACAGTGGCGATCAAAAAAAAACGCAACTGATAAAAAGTGACAAATAAAATGTTACTTAAGAAACGATTTTCTTTTATATATATCAGTAATGTGGGTATATAAATAAATGTTTTTATTTTAAAGAAAACTGTTTATTTATGGTTAGTAAACTAATAAAAAATTTAAACAACTGGTCAAAAAATTTGCAACTAAAAATTTAATATTTACAATGACCACCTTTAGACCTAAAAACTGCTTCGATTTTTCTTTCCATAGAATCAAGATAAGTTTGGCAAACCTGTACTGGTATTTTGTATCATTCCTCTATTACTATTTCTTCCATATCTTTAATTGATTTTGATAATCTTTCATGTACACGTAATTTTAAATATTGCCATAGATTTTCAATCGGATTAAGATCTGGACTCCGAGAAGGCCAATCTAAAACATTGATATCATTTTTTTCAAACCAATCATCTGTGATCTTAGCAGTGTGCTTAGGATCATTATCTTGCTGAAAGACAAAATTTTCATCCAAGCCTAAATCCTTAGCTGATTTTTTCAGATTCTTGTTTAAAATCTTAGTGTACATAATTGCATCCATATTTCCTTTGATTATTTCCAATCTACCTACACCATTGTATGAGAAACAACCCCAAAGTTTAATACTTTCTTTACCATGTTTTACCGTAGGTGTTAAGTATTTCTTTAAATATCTATTATCCCTTTCTCTTCTAACATGAATTCTTCCATCAGATCCAAACACATTAATTTTAGTCTCATCAGACCAAAGAATTTGTCTCCAATAATCTTTTTTTTCCCATAAATTAACTTTTGTAAAATCATATCTTTTTTTTAATTTTTATCTGAAAGCATTAATTTTTTACAGAAAATAAATATCAAGATTATTTTTACTTAATTCACGTCGAATAGTACGAGGAGAAACCTTAATATACTTTTCATCCTTAATTTCTTTAGATAATTTAGTAGATCCTATTTTAGGATAATATTAATATTATCTTTAAAAAATTTTATATCACTTTTATCTAGTAATTTTGGTCTTTCATTTCATTTTTTACGTAAAATAGTGTTATTCTTGTTAAATTTAGATATCAATCTTGATATTGTAAATTTATTAACATTAAATTTTTCTGCTAATTGAACTTGTAAATAACCCTCTTGATATAATGTAATAATTCGTATTTTAT